GTAACCTCCTTCTGAATCCCTCGAAGTCCACAGCATAATTCTGATGAACTTCATTCGCAAAAAGGATGTGAATTGAATCTGTTCTTCACAGATCCGTTGTTGTGAAGTTTCCACAGGAGACAGGTGTTATTCTGTTTTGTTTTGTTTAAAAAACAGAATGATGGCAGTGTTTAAAGGCGCCTTTCCCCACCAAGATAAGACCATCTTTTGAACTCAGCAGGACACCACTGTTAACTGCTATTGAAAAACTGTTTGAAAGCATCAGATCAATCTGGTGTTTTTGGAGAGCCGCTTTGAACAAAGCTCTTAATTTCAATATAGTATTCTTTTTGCCTCGAAAAATAGAACATACTGGCCTACAGGACCCAATATTTCTTCTGATAGGTATTTAAAAGGACAATTACCCATCTTTCAGAAGTAAATTGTGGGGTAACTTATTTTTTCCTCACAGCTACACACATTTCAAAATAACCAAATGAGCAAATGTGATCCTTTGAGTATTGGCCATGATTGTTGGGGCTGATGGAAGTTGGGGTCCAACACTGTATGGGAGGCAACAGGTTCCCCATCCCTGCTCTAGAGGAAGCTCAGCTGATTCCGCAAGGCAGCTCTTACATTCTTATCTACAGCCCCTAGCAATCAAATCTGTTGCAAAGTGAGAGACAGCCTGGCTACTTCAGCACAGAGAGGGAAGCCACTGTCCTTGATGGCAGTAGCCTCATTCAGAAGCTCCTGCTGCTCGACAAGCAGTGATGACCTCACTTCCCCTCTGTGGATGGGCCCTGGTGCCACACTCAAGCATGTAATATCTGTGTATTTGCTAAGGGCCCAGCTAATCCCACCCGTCTCCTGCAGGAGATATATAATAGAAATATTACCAAGTCTTAACTTCCTAACTCCCAGACTTTAAAGATGAGAAACTGGGGACCGTTGTATTTATTTGCTAAACTGTTGCGTCCATGTTTAACTTTCGCTCCCCAGTCAAATGGTTGGATATATAAACCTTTCACCCGCACAAACAGTATTATCAACTGTCTCTCATATCAGCACCATGCAGACTTGCAACACAACAGATTTATTTAACGACTGAATGGGTACCTCAAACAATGGGAGGGAAAAACAAAGGTCCCAGACCTCCTTGGGGAGGTGTTCTTGGTGACGGCCCAGCTGATATTGCTATTCAGAGGGCACTGGATGGCCTGATAGAGGGAACTCTCCCCTTCTTGTCAAGTCTGCACAGAGATGATGACTCAGGACAGCTGTTACTACTGGGACAGTAGCGACTGCCAGTCTTCTTGGCACGATCCCCTTTGCTAATTTCAGACATTATCCCCAATGATGTATTTTCACTGATGGTGTAAATCTCATCAGTTCCCATTGTACTGCACAATGCCATCATATTTACATTTTGTAATGTCAGGGGACAAGTCTAGCAACTTCCAGCTGACTTTTCCAGAGTTCTGTTTTATCTCTCCCACACCCTCCCACAAAAAACACACACCTTTGTTTAGTAAAAGGATATCTTCTGTGAGTTTGGATCTGTGTTGGTCATTAGAAAACAAAACCAAAAAAAGGGGGGGAGGAAGGAGTTCAAGGTGTCCCTGAGTCCAGTTCCCATTAGTTACTGTAACCATTAAGGTGTTATATAAAGGCCAAAGCTACGAGACCATAGAGTGGTTCTGACACAAACGTTTTCCTCCACATGTGGAAATGCTATGTAAGAAGGACACTCAAATCTAGAGGCATACTAGATTCCTGCCGGCTTCTGCTTGTGGAATTTTTCTGTAAAATCTATGAGGATTTCTCACTAAATAATCATGCAAGCAAAACAAGTTGCACTAGTGCAAGGGGTCTTCATCCCTCTCCCCCCCCCCGGTGCACCCTACCACCTCCAAATCAATTTTTGCAAGTTTGGGAAACCCCCAAGACAGAGTCAATGGATGCATGAGGGAAGAGAGACAGAGAATGATTTGTTGGAATGTTGCTCACTGCATTACCCCTTATTCCTATATAATATTTCCACATGTATCCTTCTATGGAGCCGCAAACAATTTTGCACCAAATCTGGGGAGCAGAAGAGGGCGGTGGGAATGTGAAAAGAGAATGACTTTGTACACACCCCAGTTTGGCAACATTCAATCCACTGCTCAGCAGTATCTTGCCACACGTTGGCTTGCACGGACCCAACAAATGACCATCACACCAGGCTCACTGGAAACAGAATCTGGTAATTATTTATTTTGTGGTGCTTCTCCAGTACGTTGACTTATATTGGAAGTGGAAGAATTAGAATCGTTCGATTTTGTATATCTTGCTCTTCTCTGGTGGAATCGCCCCTCCCCGCAGACAAATAGAGAAAAGGTGACAGAATGGTATGATATCTAACATGAGATAGATTAATTAGGAAAACAGAATGTTTTCATCGCAGCATTTTGCACCCACACTCCATTTGTATGCAGTGGTTTTGTTTCTGAGGGCATCTTTTTGTGTCTACCACTGATTTGTTAATGATATGCCATCTGAAATGTGTTCAGCTACACACCACTGGTTTCAGTTTTGCACACAGAAGCAAAAACCTGGGACTTCAGCAATGATTGCAATCTTCTGCTCAGTGAAGAAAGCCCTGGTAGCGCAGATTTAGATGTCAAAAAGGACGGTGGTAATCTTATTAACCTTGAGTTTTTCATCTCCTTTGAGCCTTTAGATTATAAAGTATGAAACCTAGCAGGTGGCCGTTGGATTTCAATGTTTATGCTCATTTAATACCCACCTAGGATTATTTTCTTCCCAAAGAATGAAGAAAAAAGCAACTAGAAAGGAACCTCCAGCTTAGGAAACAAGTGAAATAAACATTCTCCTTTGGATCAAAATAAATGGGTGAGAATGTAACACATCTGGGGGGCACTTAGAGAACCTTGATCAGGATGCACATCTCCATTCACATTAAAATATGAATTTGGTGAGTTCAGTGGGGGCAGATGAGTAACGGTAGGAGGCTATAACTCAGTGGTAGAACGCCTGCTATACACAAGGTCCCAGGATCAATCCTTGCTATCTCTAGTTTAAAGAGGATCAGGTGGCAGGTGATGGAAAAGACCTCTGTCTGAGACCCTGGTGAGTCACCCTAGACTAGTGGTTCCCAATTGGTGGTCCGTGTAACTCACCCAAGGGGTCCATGGCATCATTCACATAACAAAAACTACCATAGAGATATCAATATTTTCAAATGTCCATGGCTTAGCTTTTGAGAAATGGGGTCCGCAATACTTAGTTAATTGGGAACCACTGCCCTAGACAATAGTGGACTAGGCAGAAAATTGTCTGATCAGGTGTATGGGAGCTTTCCAATTTCCTATTTCAATATGAGTGGAGATACACAAACACAGATAATCAGCCGCCTCAGCTGCTCATGTGGAAAGCGGCTTCTGCTGCATCAAGACAATGATCTATCTATCTATCTATCTCTATCTATCTATCTATCTATCTATCTATCTATTAATCTGTATTGGTCTGAGTCCCTTTGAGATAGTGGGTAATTTCCCCAACTCTCTGTTCGTGGAGTCCTGGTTTAAGCCATTACAGGCATAGCCTGAGCTGAAAACCAGTGTTAGAAACTGAGATATGAAAGCTAGGAGCTAAATGGCACCTAGGTTATGGGCACAACAATGGAATGTCTAGGCATTTTTTATATAACAAGAATACAAACTGAAATGAATGAACTGCAGCTAAAATATTATGCTCATTTTTCAAATGGTCTAGTCCTTCCCCTGCCCACTCCCCTCATATTCTTAAGAGGGTATCTTCTCCAGAGGGTAGCTGGAAGTGGGGAGGCAGAAAAAGGTTCTCCTTTCCTTCTGCTCTGCAGCTTTAATCTGAAATCTTAGGTGCAGTACTTTGTCCAGAGCTCAGAAACTGCTCGCGCTAATGAAATTCCCTGTCACAAAATGCGCCTAGAACAATGGGAGTTTCAAACACTGCTAAAAACAAATAAGAGTATTTGTTTTCTGTTGAAGAGGAGCTAATATACATCAGATAGTTGTTTATTTCCTTGACATCTGCTGGGAGGGCATTCCACAGGGCGGGCGCCACTACCGAGAAGGCCCTCTGACTGGTTCCCTGTAACCTCACTTCTCGCAGTGAGGGAACCACCAGAAGGCCCTCGGCGCTGGACCTCAGTGTCTGGGCTGAACGATGGGGATGGAGACGCTTCTTCAGGTATACTGGGCTGAAGCCATTTAGAACTTTAAAGGTCAGCACCAACACTTTGAATTGTGCTTGGAAACGTACTGCAAAATGTAGGTGCTTTGGGACCAGTGGCCAATGGGTAGGGATGATGGAACTTCAGTGATCTAATGATATCTGGGGAGCCACAGGTTCTCAACACTCAGTTGCCTTGCCAACTGAAAAGAAGGATTATGCAAAGCTTTTAAGAGATACTGTTTCACAAGGAACTTAGGGCTATTGACAGTTTCTCCCTTTTTCTGTTTTAACAGTTACATACTTTCTCATTACATACTTGTACACAGAAGCACGGGGACGCGGGTGGCACTGTGGGTTAAATCACAGAGCCTAGGACTTGCTGATCAGAAGGTCGGCGGTTCGAATCCCCACGATGGGATGAGCTCCCATTGCTCAGTCCCTGCTCCTGCCAACCTAGCAGTTCAAAAGCATGTCAAAGTGCAAGTAGATAAATAGGTACCGCTCCGGCAGGAAGGTAAATGGCGTTTCCGTGTGCTGCTCTGGTTCGCCAGAAGTGGCTTAGTCATGCTGGCCACATGACCCAGAAGCTATACGCCGGCTCCCTTGGCCAGTAAAGCGAGATGAGCGCTGCAACCCCAGAGTCGGTCACGACTGGACCTAATGGTCAGGGGTCTCTTTACCTTTACCTTTACACAGAAGCACACACCGAACTATAAATCTTACGATCTAACATCAAATTTACCAATTCTACTTTGGTGACATGGAACCTATGAATGCAACAATGCTAAAAGTTCACCCCATACTATGGCTCAGTCAGTAGAGCATAAGACTCTAAATCTCAGGGTCGTGGGTTCGAACCCGACATCAGGCAAAAGACTCCTCCATTGCAGGGGTTGGACTAGATGACCATCGTGGTCCGTTCCCATTCTACAATATTCTGTGATTCTCTGTTAGTTAGGCAGCTTGGAGGGTGAGTTCCTCCCACCTTTTCCATCATGCCCCTGTTCCATAGCAGAGAGTACACTAGCTCAAACAGAACAAGACATAACTGCAATTTCAAAGAAAGGTGGAGGAGGGGAATCAAATGGAGTTATATAACAAATATTCCTTTTGTGAATAGGTGTGGGTTGCCCCATTGCAATTGGCTGCCCTCTTTCTTGGTGTTTGATTATACCTTGCTTTTGGCCTCTGCTTCTCAGGAGGTGACAGATTGGCTAAATTAATGTTGAGTAAAATCAGTGAAAGGGAAAATAATGGACGCCACATGATTTATTGCCTTTCGCAGAAATCTGCTAAGCAAATTCTGGGTCTGCCTTTGTATAGTGTGCAAAAAAGAAAAGTCTCAGGAACCTGACCTGCAAATTGTTTGCTTAGAGCCCTGTTTCCTTACAGGCGATGGGAGGAGTGTGTGTGTGTGTGTGTGTGTGTGTGGAGAGAGAGAGAGAGAGAGAGAGAGAGAGAGAGAGAGAGAGAGATTGTAATGGTTGTTGTTGTTTAAAGTATGCAAATGGAAAGTTACTGAGTAACATTGCTTCATTAGACCAGTCAGTGCTGACCCAATAAATTATGGGGAGAATATATATTTTACAGGAAATTGATTTAATTGAAGCTTTGGTTAGTCACTACAAAATGTGTCTGGTTCATGCCACAGTAGCCAGGAATTTATAAATGAGTTCAGAATGTTGTTCAGGCACCAGAAAATAAACCTCCAAGCTATTTACTACCTCTATGATATATAAAGTTTGCAGTTTTGATTTTGTGTGATTATGTTCAGCAATGGTGACCTTTAGAGGCAACAATATTGAAGTGTAATGAGGAGATGTTTGATCACTGGTCTACAATGAAGACTTGGCACGACTTCTCCAGTCCTTCCTGGAATTTGTGAAATTCAACTGACAGGCTTTAACCTTTAGACTGCTGAAGTTTCAAAACGTAGAGGGTTTTGTCCTCTTCATATATAACCTGTAAGGTATAGGGGTTTGGGGTTTGTTTGTTAGTTTGTAAGTTCTAGTGGCCTTTTAATCATCTTGTTAAATTAATACTGTGCACTAAGTGACATTAATTATTATTATTATTATTATTATTATTATTATTATTATTATTATTACTGGCCAGTCACTTGATGTAAACCTAGTCTTAAACTAGTATTCATGCAAAAACCTAATCTCTAAACATTGCAATATGGCCGCTAGTCAGCCAGGTTGGGGTGGTAGATATGGGGTTTATAAATTGTGACTGAATCCCATTGGAAGCAATGGAATGGGACACGTATTCCATTCTTATCCATTAGGATAAATCCTAATAATTTCACTGGGGCATAGTAAATGCCCCCAGAATTGCAGCCATAATCACGACAAACTGTTTTTGGATTGTGCCTTCTTACTGTGTGCCGGGGTTGGTATGACGGCAAGATTTTGTATCATCAGTTAATATCATGGTGTGCAAGTAAGGAATTTCTTTTGTTTGGAATTGCAAGAGATAATTGATTGGTTATTGGGTTGGATTCAGACATGGAAGGGGGTTAGCTGAAGCTCTTTTAGAATTCCCGATTTGCCCTAAGCATGGCAGAAATTCCTGCTTCATCACAAAGAAATGGAGAGCTTGTTCACAGCACAGTGCAGCGATTAGAGTGTTGGACTAGGGCCCGGGAGACCAGGGTTCAAATCCCCACTCAACAATGAAGCTCACTGGGTAACCTTGGGCCAGTCACTGCCTCTCAGCCCAACCAACCTTGCAGCCTTGTTGTGAGGATAAAATGGGGAGAGAGGGAGGAAGTTCCATTCCACATATAGATATCCCTGCACTAATGGAAATGCTTGCTGTATACTGCCCATGATCTTTAATTCAGCATTGCAGACAGTGCCAGATTAAAGCCTGTGGAGGCTCCTAGGCAGTCGATATCTCGAGGATTGGGGCTTGCAAATGATCTCTTAATAGGTTTTTGATTTTACCAACCAACGATTTTAATAAACGTATTTTGATCCGTTGTTGCAGGGCCCCTAAAAGGTGTGAGGCCCATAGGCCAGTGCCAGCTTTGCCTATTTGATAATCCGGCACTGATTGTAGAAAGAGCCTTGTCAATTTTAAGTAAAAATAGCAGGACAGAAACATTAACCAAGAAAACACAAGTGAAAATCTCACGAGCCAAACAGAGCAAATGATTGATAACTTCTCTTTCTGTAGATAATTGTACATGCTTGACATACCACAATATGCGGTTGTTTAAGGGGTAGCAGAAAAGGTTCAGCCCCTTCTAATTAACCAGTGGATGCCAGGCTCATGGTGTCTCTTTTTGTGAAGATAACCGAGTCCTCACACAACTAGCTCTGAAGCATTTGGTCGCATTTCCATCAAAAGTTTTGTATGTCTTTACTGGAGCAAAATTATGTGCAGTAGTGTGATGAAAATACTATCGCAGTCTGAAAGAATTTATGAAAAGATAATTAAATATAAACTACGTGGAATGGAGAAAGCAACTTTTTATATATAATAGCTATTATTGATTTTCTGGCTGGATGGGCATAGAGAATTTAACCATCAGGGCTCCTACACTTTCACAAAGAGGGGATATTACAATTTATGTACAATTCTTAGAGGGAAAGCTAGAGACAGTGAGACAAAAGAGGCTTTGGAGAAAGCTGTGACTGCTGCTGAAGAGGTGGGGGGTATGTATTCGGCCACCGTTCATTCAAACGACAATTTCATAGTCAAAAATGACTCTCAGATTGAACTGGTATCGGTTGGTGTGTTGTTCTTCCCACACACTCTTCACCCGCTGCAAGAGCTGAGAGTTGGTGGCTGAACGCCCATCACCTTAAACTGTATAGCACTGGGTGATTTTTCTAAGCTAAGAGAATCCTTGAAAAACAGCCTCAGATTGCTCCAAGACTTCTGAGAAACTGCAGAAAAATCAAATGTGGAGGAGATTGATTCCAGCCCTCCTTGCCAACTCTCCCTTTCCAAGAAAACGTTGCTGGTGCCAGGAGACTTGCAGCCCTTGGCTTCACTTCACATGATGCTTCTAAGCTGCCGCTTCCTTTGGAATACATGGGATTTGTAGTACTCCACAGTCCTCACACGATTACTGGAAAGTGTGGCTGCGCTGCTGGCCCCACCACTCAAAGTCACAAAGCTTCTTCGGGCATCAAGGGGAAAACCTACATGCATAGATACCGATGTATATATGTTTCCCTGGGAACTGGAATCCTACATGATCAGGATTCAAAATCTCGGGGAAGCTTATACCTATAGAGATCGATGTATGTACTGTAGGTGTTATCCTTGCAGATGTCCACACCTAAAGCATGGGATAGAGGGGCAGGACCTGGAGAAGTTGAATAACAACAACAATAATAATTCATATGCTGCTCATTCGACAGGGTTGCCCCAGCCACTCTGGGTGGCTTCCAACAAATTATAAAACCACACTAAAATGCCATACATTAAAAACTTCCCTATACAGGGCTGCCTTCAGATGTCTTCTAAAACATGTACAGAAATGTGGAGAGAGTCAGAGTAAAATGCTGGTGAATTTTCATGAGGATTATTATTATTATTATTATTATTATTATTATTATTTACAGATAATTCATAAACCAACAGGGGGAACTGTACATAAGACTGGAAAAATGGGAAACAGAGGGAAACTAACATGGATAGATTCAAATGTTGTTGGACTACAGTTCCCATGAGCCTCAGTCAGCATGGCAAATGGTCGGGGTTAAGGGAACTGTAGTCCAGCAACATTTGGTGGGCAGCAGGTTCTCTGTTCTGGACAAAAGGATGCACCATATTGTTGCTAAAAGCTCATTGCAGGTTTTAATTTACTTTTTAAAAATAACATTTCCCATGCTCTTTGTTATACCTGGGTGTGCATACCCACCCACATATGGAATATTTGTCTGCATTGCACCCAACCCTTTGAGCAGTGGATGCAGTGCAGCTTAAAAATACAGTGGTATCTCGGTTTATGAACTTAATCCGTTACAGAAGTCCGTTCTTAAAGCAAAACCGTTCTTAAACTGAGGTGTGCTTTCCCTAATGAGGCCTCCTACCACCGGTGCCCTTCCACCGTTCGGATTCCGTTCTTAGACCGAGGTAAAGTTCTCAAACCGGGACACTATTTCTGGTTTTGCAGAGTTCGTAAACCGAATCATTCTTAAACAGGACTGTTCTTAAACCGAGGTACCACTGTATAATAGATAAATGAACGAATGTTCAAAGAGCAGAAACAAGATGACCATCTGCTTCCGAATAGAGAAGGTGCCATGCTCTGCTAATATTTGTTGCACCTCTTATAGAAGCATTTAAAAACAGACTTAATAACACAAAAGCAGATCTGGGGATAGCCCGCTACCAGGCAGACCCCCATTTCACAACTAGCTCCTCCACCGGCCTGCCAGCTTCTTTCCAGAACAGCAATTAATTCTCCCTTGGCCTCTTGTCCCACCACTGCTCTTCCCTCGAGTCCCCGATGTGAAGTTTTGTGCTGCCCATTTCGGCGCAGTCTCAGCCCTGTCTCCCTTTCTTCTCCTTTCAAGAATGTTGTGACTTGAGGCATCAATCTGGACCTCCAGCCGAGGCTTTTAACTCTTGAAAAGAAAAGGGAAAAGTTAAATTGGAGGCAATACATTTCCCTCATTAATCTGTTACTTTTGAGGAAAGTTTTTTTAAAATTATTATTAAAGCAGACAGAAATGCTCGATTGGAACTTTTCAACGAATGGTGAAACCCTTTTCTTTCTGCCGTGCATTCGGCTATCTTATAGCTATTAATTTTTTTAAAGATTGTTTTTTTTTAAAAAAAAAAGCATGTTGTGGCCATCTTTAAAGTGTGCTAAGCATAAGAACTGAATTTCCTTAGAGGGGTGTTTAA